AAGGCGGTGGAGACGAGCCCGCATCTGCAGGAACGCCGAGACATTGCCCTTAGTGTGACACCCGGTGGATACACGTTCCGACATGGGCTAGTGTTCCACAGGGGGCGAGTGGTTCTACCGCTAGCCACCTCCCTAACGACAACAGTGATGAAGGAATTCCACGATTCCCCTGTGGGTGTCCACTCCGGGTATGAGAGGACCGTGAGAAAGATCCCTAGTAAGTTCTATTGGCCGCAGATGACCCGTGAGGTCAAGGACTACGTGATATCCTGTGACACGTGCCAGCGGGTCAAGGCATCCCAGTTACGACTGGCAGGCCTACTGCAACCTCTGACTGTGCCAGTGCGGATCTAGGAGCATTGTAGAGTAGTTCATCTGGTTGGTCATTCGACACCACGGGTTCCCTCGATCGATCGTGAGCGATCAGGATGCGCTATTCCTAGGGAGATTCTAGAAGGAAGTGTTCGTCATGGTGAAAACGGAGCTGAAGATGAGTTCGGCCTACCACTCACAGATCGATGGACAGACAGAGGTGGTGAACAAAATATTGGAGCAGTACCTGAGATGTTTCGCACATTAGCAACCGCGACGATGGCTGGCTATGCTACCCTGGGTGGAGCTGTGATATAATACCACTTATCACCAGTCTATTCAGATGTCTCCGTCCGAGGCGTTATACGGGAGGACACCACCTATGCTAATCCGATACCAGTCCGGAGCGAGTGCAGTGGACGTGGTGGACAGGTGGCTAGCCGATCGGGATGAGGCGTTGCAACATCTAAAGGCGAATTTGGTCGCCTCCAACAACCGACTGAAGCAGCAGGCGGATTCTAGGCGGCGAGAGGAGGAGTTCGCAATGGGCGAGTGTGTATTACTCATGTTGCACCCGTACAGACAAACATCTGTGTTCAAGAGAGTTTACAAGAAACTCGTTGCCCGGTATTTCGGGCCGTATCAGGTGCCGGAGAGGATCGAGGCAGTAGCGTATCGGCTGGAGCTGTCGGACACTGCCCCGATTCATCCTACGTTTCATGTTTCACTCTTATGCAGGTATTGAGGAGAAGTGCCACAGGCGATGCCGCCGGAGCCACCGGTGAATGAGAATGGCACGTTGGAGCTGGAGCCCAAGGCGGTGCTCGATATGTGCTGGCCACGGCGAGGCAAGCGCCGTGTAGCAGAGAGCCTAATTCAGTGGAAACATTTGGGACCAGAAGAGGCAACTTGGGAGGATACAGAGACTATCAGACAGACCTATCCTGCGTTCAACCTTGAGGACAAGCTCGGTGTCGAAGGGGGAGGGAGTGTGAGAGACCGAGTCGGCCTAGGGGGGTATTTGGGTCATTTGAGTATTGTTGGGGGAGAGAACTATTTAAGCTACGGTCTTTGTTATTTCGATTAAGCAAGAATAATATCAGAATCCCTACTAATTCCTCATCTCTTCTTCAATTCCCATCCCAATTCCCAATTCTCAACCCTAATTCTTCTATTCTCATCCCTATTTTCTACTCAAGTATCCGTGTTTCTCACAAATTACCCCATCATCCCAAAAATGCAACCCAAAAAAGTGTGTCTATGAATTACGAATCACAATTGAATGAGTGAATTAATTTAATATCAAAATCCACTCATTACGTCCATTATTCAACCAAATACAAAACTAATACAAAAACATTTTGTTATTTTAATGATTTCAGTGATTTAAAGTACATCGATTTGAATCCCACCTTGGATTCAACGTTGTTTTGGACTTCATGCAACCCATTGATTTGAGAACAAAGCCGGCAAGAGTCCAATATGTCTAACCAACCCGTGAGGCAGGCAATCTACAAGCAAACACAAGCTAAGACAACGAAGAGGAATTCCTGTTATTAATTTATTTATGCACCTCTATCTTAGGAGAGGAAGACAACAAACATGACGGTGATTAATCAATTTGGAAGGACTAAACAGTGTTACAGTCATATGCTTATCTGGGAAATTAATTAAGGTCCCATGTCACTCACACTCACTGTCCGAGGCACTAAATGTGACATTGAATGATTGGTCTGGTCCAAGAGTAAAGTTTCAGCAGCCTAGTGGCCTAAACAAATACCAATTCATGTTTTTGTGCAGTTGAGAGTTGAGACTTAAGACAAGAACCAACAACGACAACTAATATTTCCAGCCCGATCCAAGTTCCTTAAACTTAAGATGAGATACAGTAACACACATGCATCAAATCTTTGATCAATGAATCTAATGACCGTAATTTTGACTTTTTCTTAGAGAAGTGATATAGGTTGATTCAGGGGCGGAGCCAGGAATTGGTCGTCGGGGGTGGATTTCCTAATCTATAAGCACGAAAGGGCGTTAAAATTAATTAAAATAATGATAAAAAAAACATATTTGTAATAATATTATAACTGTACTTTTTAAAAAAAATAATTAAAGTAACTAATTACGAGATCTAAAGTACAAATTTCTAACATGATAGATTCAAAATATATTAAGGTAAAAAATCAATTAAAATGTAATTCAATGTAGCATAACACGTTACATTTTCACTCAAAATAAGATATACTAATACCATGACATGTTTAATATAAAATTAGAAAATAAACAAACTAATTAATTATTATGTAACTCATTCTTTTTCATAATTGAAAAATAAATAGCTAAGAAACACATTACATTTTCACTCAAAATAAAATATACACTAATACCATGACATGTTTAATATAAAATTAGAAAATAAACAAACTAATTAATTATTATGTAACTCATTCTTTTTTCATATTTGAAAAATAAATAGCTAAGAAAACTATTTAATAAAAGGAAACTGTTTAATAGGCGTTTAATTAAAAAAGTAAAAAGAAACTATTTATCAGGGTATTTAATTAAAAAATTAAACTTACCTGCTGTAGGTTTCGAACCATAGACCTAAAAAATTAAAACGGTTTACTAACAATTATTGTGTCATATTGGCGCACTAAAAAATATTTAATTATTGTTTAGTTTATACGAAAATGTCGAGATGCTCGTAACGTTTACACGTAACTTTCAAAATTCTTAGGGGGGCCGGGGCTCCCCCGAGAGCCTACCTAGCTCCGCCCCTGGGTTATTTTTTATAGTTAGGTGTTGCTAAAACATTTGAAATTAAGCCTTCATATATACTTTTGGGTAAACTTAGCCTTCTTCGATAATGATATCGTCTTGTTTTTCATTTATAAAGGTCTCAACCATTGCATGTCTAATTTTATGATAAGAATGACATCTATAATATATATATTTATTTATTTATTATAATCGGGTAAAGAATGTACATATACAAATTGAATCTTATCGAGTCGCAAAAAAATATTTTAATTACCAAGAACGAAAATTAATTTTCCACATTTAACTTACACCATTTCGCTCTTTTCCTTTTTCGTATTTTTTATTTATTTGGATGATCGACTTGGACATAATTTGATGACGTAATCAAAATTCGATCGATCAATACGATTTGCCGGTCGAGAAAATTTTCGCCCCTGAAACAGAAAATTAAGTGCGACTGAAACAAACAGAGGATTATTGACAATTCGATCAACATGCATGCAAATGTAGCAAGGATTCAAAGACTCTCTCTCCCCATCCTTTTTTTTTTATGGGCTCTCTCTCCCCATCCTTTCTCCAAAAGTAATTTGCTTTAACACTATATCTTAATGGTGTTTAGCGCCAACATATATACTCCTGAGACTTATTACCGTTGAACTCTCTTGGGGCAGAGAGAGAACAGACTACAGAGTAAGTGGCTAACTGTCAGGACTCACGACAACAGGCACAGCGTTTTTCCAAATACCAAAGACATAATTAATTTACTGCCATGCAAAAGCTCAAGCAAGTTAAATTAAAGCTGCCCATTCATTCATTCAACAGTGGAGCAGCAGCAGCAGTTCTCTCTCGCCCTTCCGTTTCACCACCCATCTTTAATTTATTGCTTCTCCTATCAAAATCACTTGTTTGGTTTTCACTACCTGTCCAGTGTCCACTGTTCATTAATTTTTTCACCCACCAGACCTAACCACATATCTCACTGGAAAGAACCCAGAAGGAAGAAAGCAATACCCAGAGAGGTCTTATTTAGTTCCACGTCTGTTACGATTTCCAAGCATGGAGAGAACACAAGTTGACCCATCACTCACATTCAAACCATCATCGTCATCGTCATTACTCCACAAACAAAGTTTTGACAGAGCTTTTCCTTCCCTAATGTCACGAGGAAATGCATACATATGAAAAGCCATTCAATAACTCTCCACCCAGACCAATGTTGTTAAACATATTTAAGTTGTTGAGCTGGTCAGACAAGTGGTCTGGGGTACGTTCAATGGTTTGTTCGATGGTTTTAAACCTTTTTGAGTCGTTCAGCCAAGTGATTTGAAGTTCAATGGTCGGTTGGAGGTTCAAGCTGTTTGAGCCGTTCAAGCAAGTGATTTGAAGTTCAGTGGTCTTGTTGAAGGTTCAACCTGTTTGAGCCGTTCAAACAAGTAATTTGAAGTTCAATGGTCTATTCGGAGTCTAACTTGTTTGAGTCATTTTATACACTTTTAAAAATATATATATACAAATATGATACTATTTAAAGAATATAATGACTGAAATAAAATTTACTTTACATGTATTATTTAGTAATTTTATATTTAAGTATAACCCATTAAAACTCTAACCTCATCTCATTCGGTCATTCCATTCCAAAATGACAACATTTTACCATCGAGCCGGAAACAAGAAAAGGTGGTTCGACCATCTATTTTCTCGATTATTGCTCGAAGACCCTTTTCGTGACCGGTTCTGATCCAACCGATCAGTTTGATAGTGGTTAATTAGCTCTCCACCAAACTTTCCTTCCCTCATTAAATTCCCCATTTCCCCCCTCGTCGACTTGCAACCACAGTCAATTATTATTTATGCAATTTATTCACCACAATCGCCACAGAAAAGAATCTAACAGTCCCCCCCTTTCCTAGGAAAAGTATCAAATGGCGCATAGATATTCCCCTCTGTTTCTCTGCCTAGAGAGACTACTACTAGTGTTGCTCCTCTACTTCCTCAATGCTATCAAGCCGACAACGTGTGAGGTGCCGGCGGTGATAGTGTTCGGGGACTCGTCGGTGGACGCCGGGAACAACAACGTCATCTCCACCCTGCTCAAGAGCAACTTCCAGCCCTACGGTCGGGATTTCGACGGCGGCCGGCCCACGGGCAGATTCTCCAATGGCAAGATCCCGCCGGACTACATCTCCCAGGCCTTTGGGCTCAAGCCCAATGTCCCCGCTTACTTGGACCCGAACTATGGCATTGCTGATTTCGTCACCGGAGTTTGCTTCGCTTCCGCCGGTACCGGCTACGACAATGCCACCTCCGACGTCCTCGTAAGTAATTTCCAACTCCACCACATGCATTGATTTTGATCTTGTTGTTGGATAATATGGCTGAGAAGGAAACTTATTTGAGAGTTTATATTAGCAATCTAAAAACCAACACCATACCTTAGAAGAAAAAAAAAAAAAAAAATCAACACACTTTATTAGCTAATTATTTCGTCATTCAGAGTTCTAATGGGATATGATCTGATGGATTAGTATTGTTTTCCGAAAATGGTCGAATTCGAGTAAATGAGTTCTAATGGGATCTTATGGATTAGTGCTTTTCGAAAATGGTCGAATTCGAGCAAATTTTTGCTCTTACATATCTAATTTTATAGTTACTATCCAGTCTAATAGTGAAAAAGACCAAGACTTTTTTAGTTAAGTTTTTGTGCAGTCGAATGTAGGCAACATTTCAGCCGCCTAGCTTAGGATCAATTAGAAAAGTGAATCAATTTTGTCAATTGTTTCAGTTTACATGCTCCCACTTTTGGACAATTGTAATTGTTGAGACAATTCAATATTCTTCCGATCAAACTACTACATCCAAATCTTATACCACCACACTAATCAATTTGGTCAATTATATCAAACAAAACTATTGAGTCAAATTGAACGGAAAGAATTCCCTCATCGACCCAATTTTGATATTTTCCCCCTCTTCCTGTTGTTTGTGTTATGGCAACAGAATGTGATTCCACTTCGGAAAGAACTGGAGTACTACATGGACTACCAATCCAAGCTCCGAGCCTACGTGGGCGACCAAAGGGGCAACAAAATCATCTCCGAGGCGCTCTACCTAATGAGCTTGGGGACAAACGACTTCCTCGAGAACTACTACACCTTCCCAACTCGCCGGTCCCAATTCAACGTGAAGCAGTACCAGGACTTCCTTGTGGAACTCTCTCGAAGCTTCATCACCGAGCTCTACAAGATGGGCGCAAGGAAGATATCCCTAACGGGCGTCCCTCCGATGGGTTGCCTGCCCTTGGAGAGGGCCACCAACTTCATGGACCACCACGGCTGCGTCCGCGAGTACAACGACGTCGCTCTGGAGTTCAACGGGAAGCTCGACGCGATGGTCGGGCAGCTGAATAAGGAGTTGGAGGGGCTCAAGGTGGTGTTTACCAGAGACGTCTATGGGCTGGTGCTTGACATGATCACCAAGCCTTCTTCTTATGGTAAGACACCACAAGTTATATTTAGACATGGGAGATTTGTTTTGTTGCTTTTGTTTATAAGAATTTAGAAGGAAGGGTGCTTTGCTTTTATGGGTACCTGCTTTTTTTTTCTTCTTCTTTCTTTTGGCATGTGCTTGGTTTGATTTGATTAGGTTTTCACTTTCTCTACTAGTTAGGATATACTAAATTAAGATAGGGTTAGGTTTTTTATTCATTGGAAAACGTTAAGGAGGGTAATCTTTTTCAAGTCAATTCTTTATTTGCAGTAGTAGTAGGGCATATGGTGTTAGAATTCAATGTCGAAAAAGCAGAATTTTGTCGTTTCCGAATTTACGTTACATATTTTAAAACATGTTTTTTTTTTCTTTTCTTGATTTTTAAGAATGAACCATTACACACTTAATTTTTCGTAATTAGTTATGCGAATAATCATGCATTATGAAAGCAAGTAAGATGCATCGTTCGATTTGATCGTCGAGAATCAGAAAACGTCGTGCTTAACAGATTGGTATCGATGCAGGGTTCGAGGTGGCAGGGATGTCATGCTGTGCGACGGGGACGTTCGAGATGGGTTACCTATGCAACAGACATTCCATCACTTGTGAAGACGCCAACAAATATGTATTCTGGGATGCCTTCCATCCCTCTGAGAGGACTAACCAAATTGTTTCTTCCCATCTCATCCCTATTCTCAAGTCCGAGTTCAAATAACTACCCAAGAAAAAGGGATTGTTCGATCCCATCCCATTTGATTTGTATGTGGGGCAAACATGAAGGTTGGCTATTTTGGAGTAGTGATTTGTAACAATGTCGCCAATGGCTTAAATTACCAAATGGAGGCATTCATATTATTATGGATATAAAATTAATACAGCCCAATTTACATGTTTTGGTCAAGTCAAGTCACATAATTAGGGATTGGGCCAAAGTGCCCTTCAGGTCGAGTTTGGGTAATCTAGAGAGTTCGGAATGATAACATTATCTCAGGGCTGGAAAACTCCCAATAAGATAAGTCAAAGGACCCTCATCTAAAATAAAATCTCAATCGACACTATAATTGCAGTACAATAACTAGAACTGGTGATCGTGGTATCACGTCGAGATGTGGATGTGGGCTGGAGACCGACACCACATGAGATAGGAAGGGTCGCTTATTGGATGCCTACACCTCCAATCTGCTAAGTTGCTCCATCACTTGTGTGAAACTTCGAGGAGTCGCTAGGATTTCCAGTTGGTCTGACAGCTTGGACACTAGAGGGTGGCCCTATAGATGGATTTGGCAATAACACTATCAATTTTGCAAGCAACGGAGGAGTCTTTGCACCAGCATGGAAGCCTTGTACTTCAGTCTCGAGGTATGCTCAAATGGGAGTGGATTGCTGCTCTCTCCCACATGTTTAAGAAAAGTAATTTTATAGTCGGTGTTTTTGGTTCACAGGGGCTTTGCTGTCCTTTTTTATGTTCACTTTGTTTCGGAATACAACTTTAAGGTCTGACACTAAATTATGTATGAGTTTCTTGATACCTTAATTTCTTGACATATTAATGTTACGAGGTAGTAGTGTTGTGTACTTTTTCCTAAAAAATAAGGAGTGGGCCGCTAAAATGCGACCGATCTTGGCTATGAGCCCATGACTATTGATGTTAGGCTTTAGTGGACTGTACGAGTTGGACTCAGTGCCCCAACGGCCCACAGACCAATTTACTTTGGAGGAACGAAGAAATTGGTTGGTTTCTGAAAAACAAACCAAATATTTTCTACATAATTTGATCCAAATTACTCTTCAGTCTTCAGAGGATCTTTCCTATCAATGCTCCGGCCCAAGCTGCCATTGAGTTATTGAAGTAGGCTGTAGGCCAGTTCGAAAATGATCAATCTTTACCCACAAAACGTAATGTTGGGCGGCTTTCAGCCTTCCAGAGACGAGAATTGAGTGCGTATATATATCCTCCAATAATATATAATAGAGTTTTGTAAAAAAAATTTCATTTTAAATTTCCTGCAACGAGAGTGAAAGTAGGAAGGATATTTTTGTCTTTACATGTATTTATTTATTTCATTTAAAAAATATCAATATCAAGACTCGAACCCGGTCACTTCAAACAAAGATAGCAATAATAACAAATTATACTAAATATATTTGTTCTTGCTTTTTTAATATACAACATACATGTATTCAAACTGTGAAAAGCAGAGGACTTTCCATCATGATTAACAAGATCACTAAGTCTACCGTATGTATTTTCATGGTGCTTAATACTTCAATTTTCATAGTAGAGTTTCATGTACTATTATCCATTTTAAAATTCGTGCTCTCTCCTTATTTTCGCCAAAGGTAAATTGGTAATTGGCTAACATGGAAGAAACTGTTTCCTTTACTACGCGTTGTGTCCTTGCATTTTTCAATATAAATTTAAATTTTGTGCTTTTTTTTATCTTTGTTCTTATCTCTTTCTAATTTTCTTTGAAATTTCCTCCATTGTGCAATAGTTTGCGTGCTTTCACTTCCCAGTATAAGGGCACATTTGAAAATCAATATTCCGGTATCTCTTGGCACTGTCGTTTTATTCTTGGGGATTTAAGCTGGGCAAGTAGAAGATTTCAACTCTCATATCAATCCATGGCAAATAGAATGGAGTTCAATCAAGTAGTATGGTCTGGCCTTGATTATCTCGCTCGATTCCTCTGCACTGGCATCACCCAATGGTTCTGTCTGTCCCCGATGTACTACCAGAAGAACTATTTTGCGCTTCTATTGCTGAAGACAATGTTTCATCAATTATATCTTGTGCATTTACTCCTCTTCCTATACCAGACATTGACCTTTAATAGGTTTTCGGTCTTCAACCAATTTTAATCGCTTTGCACATGTAAGTCATTCATTTCTTCTCTATGTCTAGAGATTTTATCTTTATGAGTAATAACAAAACAACTTTTATTTGAACGTTGTCTCGTGAGCAGAACATGCAGAATATCTATTTCTTTTGATCTTATTGCCTGATACAATGTTTAAAGCTCGGTGGATCTCCTGCGTCATTTCTTCTCTTTCTGTTATTAGGTTTCAACTTCAATGAGTTTCTATCTTCATATAAGGTTCATCGACTTGAACTGGTAGGTTATTATTTCCTTCCCGATTTATCTAATTTTGTTGTTTATGAATGATTTATAAAGTATAGGAAATGAATTTGATCGATGGTTTGGGTACTATATTTGTTTGAAAGCAAAGGAGATGTTTGTGTAGAATAGGGGCAGTTGTACTTTCCTAGCGCCCTGCCTACTTTTTTTGTTGTTTGTTTCCTGTACTTTATTTTTGTTCTTTGCTTAGCTATTGAAATAATAAAATAAAATTAAAATTAGAAAAATGTTTCTTTTCAATTACAATATTTTCTCTCATGTTTGGTTTTGTCATAACTAATGTTCTCCACAACCATAATTTTCCTCATTAATTTTTATTCTTATGGTCCAACTCACTAATCAAATTTTGATATTGTTTTAGAATTAGTTAGAAATTGAGCTTTCATGCAACACTCTAGGAGTTTGGGGTGTTGAACTTGGAGCAGAAGAGTTGTGATTGAGTTTGAGAATGGAAGTGGTGGGTGAAGAAAAAATCAACTACAGCAGGTAAGGCCGAGAAGAGGGAGTTGCTGAGGGTAGTGATCGAATTGAGTTGGGTATTGAAAGACGCAGAAACAAAAATGGAGTAGTTGAAGAGAGAGAAGTGAGAGATGATGAGGATATTAATGGAAATGAAGAGGGTATTGAAGGGCATGGAAGTGTACTGAAATAGGTGAAGGCAGACAAGGGAGGAGATAATCATATTGATGGAATTGGAGATGAGTTTTGGTTTGAGCGAACTTATTACAACTGCCCCTGAGGAAGATGAGTTGGCAAAACATAGGAAGAGGATTGAGGAGTTGAAGAACAAGTTGACAAGAACCCAATTGGAAGAGAAATTGAGGTTCGCAAAGAGAAGGTCCATCAAAGTAGCAGAAATGGAGTTGCAGAAGGAGGATTAGAAAGTGAATGTTTGGTTGAAACATATGCTTCTTGAGATTGAAGATAGAGTAAACAAAATTTGGCCGTTCAATGGAGAGTGATGGCTATTGGATCTTTAGGTTTAAGGTTTTTGCAGCTACCATAACATATTTCTATCTTAAAACGAGGAATCATTTATTGATTTAATGAAGTAGGTCGATTCTTTATTCAACCTACTTGAACTGATAGATAAAGAGTGTCTAATTTTGCATCTTATTACTTTGATCGAGTCTATTAGTGTATTGGAGGTAACCCAATTTTGTCGTTTGCTCTCAAGTTTTGATGGTCCCCTCTTGGTTGAGTTGTTAGTATATAGTTGACTTGAACCTACAACTCTCAATTTCTTTTTGGTTAGTGGCATATTGCCCCAAAAATGAGAGCATTGAACCATTTATATAGGACTGTGAGGTTTTAGATTCAGTTTCAAACTATCTATGGGTCGTGTCGAAATTCCAGTGAGCTTTTTACTCTATCTTTCTTATCAATCAACTAACTAATAACATTTTAACTGTGCTTAATTATTATTATTATGAAAATGGGATCAATGATACATTTTTATGTTTTATATTCTCAAATGATAATGATATTTCTTTGAATGTTCGACCTATATATTTTTTTATTTCCGTAGCATATTCTCCTCCAACACGCGGCGACCGAAAAGCCAGGCCATCTCTCAGGTACTTGGTATACGAGCTACACAAGACCTTGGGAGGTACTTAGGCGTGCCAGTTTTGCATGGCCGAGTGACTAAGGTAACATACAAGTATATACTCGATCGGTTGGATAAAAAACTGGCAGGTTGGAGGGCGAAGAACCTGAGCCTTGCTGGACGGGTCACGCTCTCGATTTCCGTCCTCAGCTCCCTCCCTGCCCAAACCATCGATCCTTCCTAGGAAGTGGCAGACTTTATTCTGCCGAGTGGTGAGTGGAATACTCCCCTCCTACAAAATTTTCTTCCTAATGATATGGTTTTGCAGGTAGTGGGAATCCAACCACCTAGGAGTGACTCGGGGGAGGACCTCGCAGTCTGGGGAACCGAGAGTGACGGGCGGTTTCGTGTGAAGTCCGCCTACCGAATCGCAGCAGAACTCGACGAGTCAGCACCAACACTGGATTGGAAGACCTTCTGGCAGTGGAGAGGCCCAGCTCGCGTCAACCTCTTCCTCTGGTTAGCAGCCAAAGATCGCCTTCTCACCAACAGCGAACGACAACGGAGAGACTTGACGAGAGATAGCTTCTGCACGTACTGCCGGGAAGCTCCAGAGACAGCCCTGCATGTGTTGCAGGACTGTCATTTCTCCAGGTTAACTTGTTTGCATCTCATCCAGCCTTCTGAACACCAAACTTTTTTCAGAATGAGTCTGCAGGATTGGCTCCTGACCAACATCAAGAATCAGCACCATTGCCTTGAGTTTGGCATTACCTGCTGGTCTCTTTGGAAGACCAGGAATGATCGAGTCTTCGCAGGCAAGATCGTTTCAACTTATGATTTTCTACAGCGCGTCCTGGCATGGATAAATGTCGTGCGGAATGCCATGGACAAGGACAGGCTCACCCATATGCCTAGCCAACCCATAAGAACGGAGGTGGAGATCTCATGGCAGCCACCACCTCCCGAGTGGGTTTCTCTCAACACGGATGGCTCCGTTCATACTGACATACACCACGCTGCTGCAGGTGGTTTGATACGAGATCATACAGGATGTTGCTTGGCAGCATTCGCTTGCAACCTGGGTATGTGTTCCATTACCCGGGCAGAGTTGAGAGGTGCTGTGGAGGGTCTTCAGTTGGCTTGGAACCTCGGACATCGACGAAGAGTGGAGTTGGATTCTCAGTGTGCAGTTCAACTACTCTCGTCGCCGGACACGTAAGATTATCAACATGCAACCATCATCCAGAGGTTTTCCGAGCTCCTCCAGCTTGATTGGGAGGTGACGTTACATCACATCTATCGCAAGGGTAACAAGTGTGCTGATTTTCTTGCGAACCGCGTGCATTCTATGCCCTTAGGCACCCACTGTGTTTCAGTTTCCGATCCTGCTTTACATTATTGGCTTTTGTATGACAGTCAGGGGATATCTAAACCCCGTTTGGTTTTGAATGAAGGCTGAGATGCGTTGCATCCATTTACCAAAAAAAATCTGGTTGTGGGTTAATTGGGTTACAGGTTCAATTGGATTACGGATAAATCGAATTGTGGGTTAATCGAATTACGAGTCAATCAGGTTACAGATCAATCTGATTACAGCCTGAACGGATTACGAGTCATTGACTTTTAGTCATTCTACTATTTTTTTTTTCATCTAAAAGTTTGAAATATAATTATTAGGGTGACAATTATTTTGAGGGTTATCACAAAATCTCATGCACGAGCAGCTCTTGTTGACTCCGATATAGCTAGCTGGTGGAAGCAATTAAGCAAATATCCGAAGGTCAAGATATGCAGTTATAGTCAGCTTAATCTGACATGAAATCGCTCTTTGTACCAGAGACAGAGGAAAAGATTGTCACATCCAATTCCTAACTTGCTACATTGTTGGCCAATTCAAAACAAGTTTTAATGGTGGCAGAAGGGGAGATGGTAGAATGAATGTAGGAGACAATGAGAGCAACTACATTCATACACGTACACTTACAAAGTAAAATAAGAAGAACACACATCCTAGTAAGAAACATCTTTTCTGCATGCATATGTTCTCATTTCTTATTATCTTTTTAGTCTATATTTTTGTTCCAGTTAATTTGTAATTTATTGAGAGAGTGCTTCGAAAACTCCTCTAAACAACGGTGGAGTTACGTGTAATCTAGATGGGAAACAATCCTCCTCAATTTTTTTTTATCTAAAGTTATATTATGTGTATTTGTGTCATGACAATAATTTCGAAAGTAGCAGAATGCATGAGGGCTATTAGCCTCCTACTCCAAGATTTAGGTTCAATCGTACGTAGGACAATGTTGTTGTTTATTATTTCAACCCCTCCTTACTCTAATTCGGGATTTTGCCACTGTCAATGACTTGTAACTAGTCTGATGGTAGCATCAGATTACGCGTCACTAGTTTTTAAGTAGCGTTCAACGAACTTTCGGGAAAGTTGCTCCAAGGTAATCGCTTTTAACAGAGATCTTGCATATGTGATGTTAATCTCAACCTATTTATATTAAATCATCCCCACCCATATGCATGAAATAACTCTGAAAGGAATTCAATCTTCAGTGGCCAAGAATAAGGGAACGACAATCGTCCTAATTATTTGCTATCTTTTGAAATTAATATCTAACAACAAAATCACATTATTATGAGTGTCTATCCTTCTTTTTATAACGAAAATGGGTCCTCATTAAATTTTATGTGGAGTGCTATATGAGCACAAATGAATAGCAATGTGCATGTATTATCCCTTGAGTTTACTATACTCTTCTGAGTTCTGATAAGATGCTAGTAGTATGAGTGTATGACGATTGTGTAAGAGTGAAACAGGTTTAAAAAAAATGATAGACAGTCCTCATAATATGCCACATTGCCAAATGTAACAAATATAATGCATGCCTACATCCCATGTACTGATGACGAGTAGAGAGAGAGAGAGAGCATTTATTCAGAAAACTATTTCCACCTCCATTGCAGTTGAGGGTCGACAGGGAAAGAAGAAACTACAAGGAAAACAATTCAAACAAAAGAATAATTGAGTGGAGAAAGCTATAGCTATATATGGCTTTCAATGCTCTGTCTCATGCTTCTCCATCTCCAAGGTAGTAAGCTAAAGGTAGCCTCTGAAATAGGTAAGAGTCCCTTTTATTGGGCGGTTGCAACCAACACAAATTAAGAGGTGCAACATTAATTCCTTTTTCTCACAATCTTTGTAGGCCTTTTCCCCTTTCCCCTGCTTGCTAAACTGTGATCTTCCATTGTTGTCATAAATTATTCTAACATTTCGGTCCGACCCTATACAAGCTTTGATGTAGGTTTGAATTATTTTTCCTCTTAATTGCAATAGGTACTGATCAGAATGACGATATCTATCATGCATTCTAATTGAATAGCCGCAACATGGTTAATTCATATATATGTACTGATCAACAGTGCCCCACTTCTTGTACGTACTATGAATTTTTTTTTTATAGTAATTTTTCAGATACTGTACTTCATGTGGAGAAACGGCATTCATCGTTTGCATCGCGACATGGTTGCCTTGATTACACTTCAGAAAATTCTGTTTTTTTCGGTAGAAATCCACATGATTTTGTACACACAAAAACACAATAATAATCATCTGGCTAATTGTCTTCAACCCTATTCACGTTTAGTTTTAGAAGAGGGTATCCATTTCTCTTAGGTAGCTCATAATAGGTCTAATTTAGACTCAAACTAAAAATTTGAATATGATTTTGTTCAAAAAGTGATATTAGCCAAACTTGATTTGATCCATAATTAATTGGATTTAGACCCAATTCTTAAGTCTTGTTGGCCATTCCCACCCAAAACTCAACCTATTCTATAATCAAACGACACGAGTTAACAGAACATACCCATCATTTCACCGATTTTAATTAATTGCTTTCACCATCCTTGAATTAGTGCATAAATTCTCTTGTACCTTAGTACACATTTTGCAGCAATACTCACTGTCACGTTCCTCAACCAACTCCATTCATGTACCACAGAAAAAAGGAAGGAAGAAACAAGCATTCAATTCAACTTCTCCTCACTCAATGAAAGTTTGCCCCAACAACCTCCATTAATCTCCCTTCGCACTTCCACACAATGCTCTTCATCAGTTACTTATATTTATTCACCACCACCACTCTCCCAACTTCCTCAGCACAGCAACTCCTTCCCAAAATCAAGCCTTGAGAGATATCAATTCAAAGCTGTCCGCCATGGGAAAACGACTCCCCGTTTCGATCCTTTTCCTAGCCCTAGCTCCGTTGCTCATCATTGCCGTGCATGCCAAAGTTCCGGCGGTGATCGTGTTCGGAGACTCGTCGGTAGACGCCGGGAACAACAACTTCATCCCCACCGTCGCCCGGAGCAACTTCCAGCCGTACGGCCGCGACTTCTCCGGCGGGAAGGCCACGGGGAGGTTCTCCAACGGGAGGATCGCTACGGACTTTATCTCGGAGGCCTTTGGGCTTAGGCCCACTATCCCGGCCTACTTGGACCCGGCCTATAATATCTCCGATTTCGCGGTGGGTGTCACTTTTGCTTCCGCCGGCACTGGCTACGACAACGCTACCTCCGACGTCCTCGTGAGTACTACTGCCGCCATATACTCTCCTGGCCCTGGGATGAATATTATTATTTACATTTGGTACCTGTATTATTTAATTCTTCCAATCCAGCCTCGATCTAGTATAAATTTCTTCTAGTAATTGCCCAATTTTTCAATAAGTTCAAGATTGAAATTTTCCAATAAATTCACTTACTAACTATCCCAATTTTCCATCTTTGAAATTGTGATAATTAATATTATTTAGATTTCTTTATAATCAATTATGATAATATATTGTCCGAACTCCGAATTAAAGTGTTCTTGTTTATATTTTAGTAACATTGCTATTTAAAGTTTCACCAAATCACCCTTCAATTTGACCTTTTTTCATTAGCTCTTTTTGTACAAAAAAATAAATTTTCGTAATAGAAAAGTTTTACAAAAACAACGAAATAGTTATGGAAATCTCGGAAAAAAGATTTTGTTGTTTAGCCGGTCATTTATTTAGTGACCCAAAACTTAACTTTTTTTTTAGTTATATAAGGAGAGACAATATATAGATAGAGATTGATTAGTAAATACCACATACAACTCTAATATAGCATCGTTAATGTCCACAAAAATTTTACCACTTTATCATAATCAGACTATCTCCATTCGATAAATTGTTTAGCAATTTTCATTATGATTCCCGCTTGCTCATCAACATGTTTAGCAACTTAATCATCTCCAACAATTACTTATCACTCACTTTGCCACATAGACTCCACGTCACTTTAACCATTACTAAATGTTATGAATGAAAATGTTCAACTAATCAATCACACATGAAAAACTCATACTTTCAAACATCGTTCACTTCTAAAATTACACAAATACCTTCTAAACCCATCTATTCGCTTACCATTTCAAAATCCGTGCATTTCAAAAATCACTCCATTACACATTTTCCTCTCCATAATGCAGTCCGTGATCCCGCTATGGAAAGAGCTGGACTACTACAAGGAGTACCAAACCAAGCTCCGATCCTTCCTCGGCCGACCCCAAGCCGACCAACTCCTCAGCGAGGCACTCTACATGACCAGCATGGGCACCAACGACTTCCTCGAGAACTACTACGCCAACAACATGCCCGGCGGCAGGGCCTCCCAGTTCCCCGACGTCGGCGCGTACCAGAACTTCCTCGCCGGCATCGCCGAGGGCTTCCTCAGGCAGCTGTACGGCCTCGGCGCACGGAAGATCTCCCTCGGCGGGCTGCCTCCGATGGGGTGCATGCCACTGGAGAGGACCACAAACATGATGGGACAGCGCGCCTGCGTCGACAGCTACAACGTCGTGGCCGCGGATTTTAACGGCAAGATGAACAACTTGACGGAGAAGCTGAATGCGGAGCTCCACGGGGCGCAGATCGTCTTCTCCAATCCCTATTTCGCCTTGATGGGGATCATCCGACACCCCTCCTTGTATGGTACGTACGTGATTTCTCTTTTTTTTTTTTAAGTTTAGGATCTCAGACTCTCCTCGATTTTAGCTCACCTAACAACACCAATGAGTTCAAAGTTTGTTAAATACACATACTTTAGTGTTATTAAATTTTTAAGGATGCTAGTAAACTTAAAATATGATTATGCCACTGGGTCGTTTAACGTTTTGGTATTTCTTTTTTTGTTAGGGATGTCTGTGACGTCGACGGCGTGTTGCGCGACGGGGATGTTCGAAATGGGGTATGCGTGTGCTCGTCGGAGTATGTTCACTTGCAGCAACGCAGACGAGTTTGTGTTCTGGGACGCTTTCCATCCCACGGAGAAGACCAACGAGATCATTGCCAAGTATGTCGTGCAAAATGTCCTCCAGAAGTTCATGTGACCATAGAATCATATATGTGTAAAGAAAAAGATATATATATATATATACCTTGCTAGGGATGGATTGATGGTACTGTTATGGGGTGTATTATATAGATGCTGCTTTATTATATATTGTGTTGATTTTCAAGTCTTGTTGAACTTGTTTACGAGCATATATATATGGGTTGTACTTGTAAAATGAAGTGGCGCGCGAGTATTACATGCTTATCACTGTGAATGCTTGGCTGTTTAATATAAAAAAAACGATGAGGTTTGTTAGAAAGTGGTGAGTTATGACCAATTCTAGAAAACTAGGTCTCAAAGAGCAGATACTTTTTTTATAAGGGTCACAATTATATTAACGGAGAAAAGAACAAAAAAAGTTCAAAAGTTCACAAGAAATGAACCCGAACGAGACATCACAAGGGAACAGGAACAAAAAAGAAAAGAAATGAGAACAAGACACCAGCTTGATGGAACAGGCCACCCCTGCTGGTCACAGGAAAAGAAATCCCTTTCAGTTACCGAACAAAAGAACCAGGCGAACACAAACATAGTAGGCCTCAAACAAACAAACCTCAGAGTCTGCAAATCAACTAAAGACTTCATTCCTGGATTCCTGCTCGGAAGGACAAGCCTGGAACAGGAGCCTTAACCATTCCTTGTTGTTGTGCTCACTAATCAAACCCGCTGCCGAGATCCATCTTAGAAGATTCCTGCCAATCTTGACAAAAATGGTCTGCCATGTATGCTTTGTGTCATTGAACGACCTGTCATTGCTCAAAGAGCAGATACTTTTGAATCGACTTGTAAGCAATATCCTGAATTCGTTTAAGAAAAAAAAAAACTTTTTGTCATTGTGATTCCTTTGTACTTCACTCCATTTGTGTTTGTCCTATGTTTCTACAGCCAAGGCCTACAGATAAATCTGGCTTGTTGGGTTTTAGCCCAAATTTTAACTGCGGTGGGCCAAAGTAGTCTAACCCATTACAACCCTTGACCTAGACAAGACGAAGAGTCGAAGAGTCATTCTCGTTGTCTCGCTTCTCTTCAATTTCTTGACCTTTTCTTGTTCCAAATCAATTCTCGATAAAGTTCACTTTTTTCTTAAACTGCGCTTTCGTTACTACTGTGTTGATTTCAAGTGGTATAGGAGTAAGTATTTGTAATGACCCACTAGTATAGGGAAAATAAAAACCAAAACTACCACCTTTAAAAACAAAATTACAAACATACCACCCATTCCCAACAATTTCCAAACATACCACCGTTTATTAAAAACCGCGCCTCTAAGGGGAGGTTAATATATAAACCGCGCCACCAAATTGCGGTTTACATAAGAAACGCCTTGTCAACAGGCGGTTTTCCATTTAAGGTAAAACCGCTCTTCGAAGGCGCGGTTTATATGGCTGCCCTACCACAAAACGCTTCGTGAGGAAGCGTTTATATGTCGGCTTGGTAAACCGTACCACCAGGTCGCGGTTACCATGTGCAGACATAAACCGCTTCCCCACTGGCGGTTTGTGCAAAGTAAACTGCTGCCCCAAGGCGCGGTTTGTGCCTGATCACCTGACATCCAACATGTCGACATGTAGGGTGTGGGGCTGCATGGCAGAACAAAAACCGCTCCCCCCCCCTCCTGCGCGGTTTGTACTGTAAAATTCGCCTATAAAAGGCTGTTCTAGAGAACTCAATATCTTCACCCCTCCTTCTTCTTCAAATTTAAGTTGTGCACCTTTAAATTATATAGTTTTTGCGATTAACGTTAATTCGTAAGTTTGTTTTTTTATTTGCCATAGATAGATGGTAGATAGGCAGTTGATTACAATTGGTGAAAAAGTAAATAACGGTAGTAGACCGATTGTCGAGCTACCGATGCAAGAGCCGTTTTTGCCACTAAATGGGCAGCCCTGTTAGTCCTACGGGGGGCAAAAACAAACTGAATGCACTGAAAGCTTGACTTCAGGAGCCGCCCTTCCTCCAGGATCGCCCAACCAGACTCGTGATGAACATCATTCTCCGTCGCCCGCCGGATCACCAGTTGTGAATCACCACGGAAACAAACATTATAGAAACCATGATGTAAACAACATAACATTGCGTCATGGAGGGCAAGAAGTTTAGAGAGCAAAGGGTCAGCCAAACCTGTATAAAACTTCCCATATGCACATACCAGCGATGAGTCTTCCGCAAGTCCCACGAAACCTGTGCTACCACCAACATCGTTTCGATAAGCTCCGTCAAAACGCACCAAGATACCACCCGGCGGACAGACGACCGGCGGAGGCTGCCTGCCTTGCTGCCGACCTGCTGCGCTATTGCTAGCCAAATTCCCTGTTGCTTCACGCCACTCGCTGACCTGAGAAGAGAGCTGCCGATGTAGCCCTGCAGGTAAGTATTGGACCTGGTCATATGTAGTCCAACACCTGCCTTTCCACAGGCGCCAAGTGATGAAGACGATCTCCGCGATCTGGACTTTAGATAGCTGCAAACCAAAACAAATGTGACGCCAAGCAGCATTTGGAGGCAGTAGGCAAACTGCCTGGCGAATCTGATCCTTCTCGGCGAGTTCCCAAACACCACGAGCTACCCTGCAATTGAAAAAACAATGGGATATTGACTCAGTGGTCTCCGAACAAACAGGACAAGTGTCATCTACACATAGAGTTTTCTGTTTCAGCACAGCTCGCAGCGGAAGAAATCCGCGAACTAGCCTCCATAAAAAGAATTTTAATTTCGGCGGAATGGGGAGATTCCACGAGAGCTTCCAAAACTTGGTGTCCAAATGAGGAGAGACGGGTGTAAAGGATGTTGATCTTGCCGCCAAAAAGACCTGATATCCTGATTTGACGGTGTAAAGCCCGGATGACGAATAATGCTAGATGAGCCTGTCCGGGAGAGGAGAGGACGGTAGTGGGATGGTAAGGATCCACTTCACACTTTCCATGTGGAAAAGACTGCGCAGGAGGTCGAGGTTCCAGATTCTTGTCAACGGATGTATAAGGGATGCCACATATGGATTTGCGAGGATAGCACCATCCAGTAGCTTCGGGGAGGACGGTGGTGATGAAGGTAGCCATGGATCATGAAGGATGTCAATGGCTGTCCCACACCCCACTTGCCATCGAAGACCCTTGACCAGCAATTTCCGCCCTTAAAGGATTCCCTGCCATGACCAGGAAGGGCGAGTACCCACTGGCACCTTGAGGAAAGAGGAGTTGTGATGATACCTTGCTTTATAAATGCGAGCCAAGGTGGACGAGGGATCTTGAACAAGCTTCCACGCCTGTTTGGCGAGCATAGCGACATTAAACAGATCAAAGTCTTTGAAGCCGAGTCCTCCCTCAAACTTGCTCGTACAGACCGCCGGCCAAGATATCCAGGGGATCCCCCTCTCTTTGTCTTGCCCCGCCCATCAAAATCGGGACACCTGGTTAATTAGCCTTCGACAGCTTGTGGAGGGCAGCCTGAAAGATAACATCGTATACACCGGAGTAGCCGAACCCACTGCCTTAATCATCACTTCTTTAGCAGCTAGTGACAAGGCCTTGGACTTCCAGCTTCGAATCCTACCTGCAAGAGCATCTTCTACAAACTGAAAGGTTAAAACCTTGGATCTTTGGACTTGGGCAGGAAGCCCGAGATACTTGTCAAGCGGTCCCACGGACGAGATCCCTAGCTGCGCGGACAACAAAATAGCTTCCTGATTAGTGACATTAGAGCTAAAGTAAACAGAGGATTTAGAAAGATTGACCTTTGCTCCACTTGACTGTTCATACAGCCCGAGGAGATGAAGAAAAAAGAAGCACTCTGTTGATGATGCCCGCAAGAAAAGGTATGAGTCGTCGGCGAAAAGCAAGTGGGAAACAGTGGGCGCATGACGATGGACTTTCAACCCGTGGAGATGATTCGAGGATATGGCGCCATCGATCATAGAGGAAAAATCTACGGAGTATATGGCAAACAGCAGGGGAGACAAGGGATCTCCCTGCCGAATGCCCCGCTGAGGTCGAAAGTAGCCATGCTCCGTACCATTCAGAATCAGAGAAAAGGAGACTGAGGTCACACAAGCTTTCATCCACTTAATCCACTTCCTATCAAAGCCCAACGCTTCCATTACTGCAAACAAGAACCCCCATTCAACGCGGTCATACACTTTCTCCATGTCGAGTTTCACTGCCATCCACTTATCTCGCCCCTGAGACTTAGTCTTGAGAAATTGCATGACCTCTTGGGCTATAAGAATATTATCCGAGATGTCCCTGCCTTTCACGAATCCATTCTGAGCCTCACTAATTACATTCGGCAAGATTTGGTTCAACCTCTCCGCCAAAACTTTGGCGATGGCCTTGTAGAACACCTGGCACAAACCTATAGGCCGCATTTGCTTCATAAGTTCCGCATCTGGCACCTTAGGAATCAACGTGAGGAGGGTGTGGTTAAAGTTATGTAGCAGACGTCCTGATGTGAAGAAAGACATCACTGCTGCTAATACTGAGTGCCCAATAACATCCCAAAAAGACTGGAAAAAGGCAGCCGTAAACCCATCCGAACCAGGCGCTTGATTCGGGCTGATACTGAAGACAGCCTTTTTGATCTTGTCACTTGACACTTGAGCAGTGAGGAACAAATTCTGATCAGCCGAGACCTTGCGGGGGAGCCCAAGAGCGTTGACGAGGAAGTGTGGAGGGATTGCATTCGACAAGAAAAGCTATTGATAAAAGGATACAGCCACTGCCCCTTGCCATCTTCATCATAATGAACTCCACCACTCTCATCTCGAAGAACCTCAATCCGGTTATACCTTCTAGTCTGTCGAACTTTGGCGTGGAAGAAGCTGGTATTCGCATATGCTTTTTGGAGCCAATCAACCTGGGATTTCTGAATCCAGTAGGTTTCCTCTTGCCTATAAGCCTCGGTGAGCTGAAATTCTAAATGCTTGATCGCCTCCCAATCAACCACTTCTTGTTCCCGTTCAGCTTCAATGGCAGCCCTAAACTCACGAATAGGACGAGCCGAGTTCGTTGTTCCCTTCCGCGCCCAAGCCACCAACTAATGTCTAGCAGCTTTCAATGTCGAGTACAATTGGAATTAAGGAGTGCCTTCATACACTGTCCGCCATTCTTGGACAGCTATCTCCCTCACTTTGGCATTACAGCACCACCGTCGGTCGAAGTGGAACCGTGGCTTCCCCTTTCCAGCACCTGGGACAAATTGAAGCAGCAGCATGCGATGATCCGAGCCTAGGTCGGTTAGGTGGCTCACCTGTAA